GTCGAGGACCGGGAGGACACGGTAATTAGAGGCCGTGGTAATTAAGTTGTCGGTGGAGGTGGCGATCGGTGCCACCGGAAGTTGGTTGCAACTGGGTTAAGGCGGCGCCGCAAGTGGGACGTGAGCAGAGGAGAGGAAAGTTCCGACTATTTAAGGAGGTTGCTTGCAACGATGACCACGGAAGGGGGGGGGAATAATATATATCTTCCGTCTGAATATTCTTTCGAAGATCTTGAAGGGAGGAGTCGGAGAGACGGAGAGGAACTCGATGGGGCTCTCAGAGTTGCGCGCAGAGTCGAAGGAGAGGAGAACGGAGCGGAAGAGAGCGCAAACGCGCGCTCGAAATCGTTCTATCGATGCATTTTCAACGCATTCCGTGAACGCGACGTGAATCGTAGGAAGTATGTATGCATGTGTGCATGTATGTATCCGCGAAGGAGTCGTTCCTTCGAGCAACAAAGTGTGAAGAAACTGGTTCCGTTCCTGATGTGCTCTCCGTCCACCATTCCTTTTCCATCCGGCCACGAATTTCATCCTCGTTCATTGCTCGCTTTTCACAGATATCGATCGGTATCGATCGATATCGACGAGAATTGTCTAATTATTCCCCTAGCTCGAACGTATCGCTTTGAAAATATTTTCGTTATTTCGATGGGATTCTTTTTTTTTGTTTTTTATGAAGCTGGAAAAAAAAGAAAAAAACGAATCGATATTTTTCGACGCTTAGAAAACAACTCGTTTTAGCTTGCCGAGCAAAATAATAAATCGGATATGGAAAGGATATGGAAAGGATATGGAAACGAGCGTTTCGCCCGTTTTTCTAGAAAATATCCAGGTGGCCGATATCCTATGTAATACGCGTCATCGACGCGACATCGTTTCCTATTTCCTCGAGAAATACGGGGTTTTGGTCCCGTGCAACTTTGATGCCCCTTTATCTCCTCCTCCTTTTGCTTACTTTTTCCGTGTCATCGATAACGCNCGCTCACATTTCCCTCTTGCTTTCCCTCCTCCTCCTCCTCCTCCTCCTCCCCTCTCTTCCCTCCCAGAGGATATATCGATCCTGGGAATGCGTTCTACCATATACCATCCATCCCCGTCTTTTATCGTTGCAATTTTAAGGTAAATATTCAAAAATTGCGTGACCAGGTTTCCTCCCTCAACGATAAATTGCAATTGCGGCGCCGTGTCCGGACGTGACTCATTGCAACCTTTATCGATTCCCAACTCCTTCCAAGTGACAATCCGTTTCCTCCTCTTCGAGGAGAAGACTTTCTTTCGAAAAATTTTTACTCGGTTTGGAGGGGGGGGGGGGGGGGGGGGGAAGCAAGAAGAATCGGAGGGAAACGGAATTCTCTCAATATAAAAGAATCTTTTAAAGATTCTTTTAAAGATAAAAATCTGAATAAAGATCGAACGTTTGAAAATAATCAACAACGCAACAAACTTTGTCAAAAAATAAACTTAGAGCAAACGTAAAAATTAGGAAGAGAAGGAATTCGACGCATCTTGATTTTTTTTTTTTCTCTCCATATTTTCTGTTACTTCCGCCACAGCGGGTCGTTGTTTCGGATGTATCGTTGCCCGCAAACCATGATTTCCGGTCTCGTGTTGCCCTCTCGTGTCTCCCGGCCTAATATCGATCCGCGCACCCCCAATAAATAACCAGTCAAATTATCTCGTCCGATTTTCCTACGCTTCCATTTCTTCTCTTCTGTTCAAATAGGAAATAAAAGAGGTCAGATTTTTCCAAGAGGAACTTTTTCTTTCTTCTTTTTTCCTGGGAAATGCGCGACGATCGCTCTCTCTCTCTCTCTCTCTCTCTCACGATCACTTTATCACATCCTCTTTATTTTGAATAAAAATATCGTCCGCTTTTGTGCTGCGCTCGTCCTAATCTTTAAACGTTAAATTCGATTTTAACCGTTTCTTTTCTCTCTCTCTCTCTCTCTCTCTCTCTCTCTCCTCTCTCTTGATTCACGAGACTTCTCGTGGGAAGCACTTCTTGCCGAGACGCGAATGTAAATGTATCTCGACTTTCTCAACGAGATTTCCTCGAATCGAAGTGATTTTTTGCGAAAGGGAAGAAGAACAGTGGTAGAAAGTTTGAGAGAGAGAGAGAGAGTTTTCCTTTTTTTTTACGAAGGGAAAAGTTGAAGAGAAAAATGTTACGAAGGAGATTCGTGGAAAGTTTTGCGCTCGTAAAGATGGCGAAGGGAAGTAGAACGTAGAAGGGCCACGAGAACACGAACGAACCAACGAACGAAATCACAAGTTTTGCGCTGCGTTCGAAAATAACGAAAACGAATAATAATAATAATTATTATAATAATAATAATAACTTCGATTGTTTGGCGAACTGCACTTCTAATCAGCGACTTCTTTCCGTACCAAATATATAATTCCGATCCAAATATAATCGACGACGACGATATTTTCTACGAATAGGAACCAATTCGTTATACGAAATAAATTCGTTACACGAATAAATTTCTCGATATCAATTCCTCGCGTTACTTCCTCCAAAAAAAGAGAAATTCACAATGATCGAAAACTATGACGAGCGTCCAATTGTCGGAAGAATAATTTTCCCCCGTGCGATATGTTTCCCATACAGTGTTGAGAAAATATCGTCTCGTATTACGGTGATGGTGGTGGTGGTGGTGGTCGATAAGAACTACACATACCGGATGTCCGCACGTCGAAGGGACCGTTAAGGATAAAAAGTATACATTGGCAAGAGAAACACGAGCACCCACCGTTTTGAGCTCCACCCCTTAGCCCGGAAATCGACCAATTCTTCTAATTCTAAATAATCCTAATAAATAGAATTAGCTTTGAAAATTCATCATCTGAAAATACGTAAAAATATACAATAACAAATATACAATTTTTCTCTCGCAACAATTATTCAATAAACTCACGGAAAAAACTTACTTAAATAACGTTTAAAAATCAGATCGAGTCAACGAATCACTTATCCAAGAACAATATTACGATAAAAAGTATATATATATATATATATACATAAATATATACATCATCATCAGGATAGATCATCCGTTTCTTCGAGATATGTATCAAGATTTCCGATCGAGCTCAAAACGATCGATTCGCCTTTTCTACGTTAGCCCCTTATACAGCACGATACAACGAACACGATATACACACGTATAATTTAAGGGGAGGGAGGGGGATAGGGGATCGTTATCACATCGTTTTACTAAAAAAAAAGATTCCGTTCGGGAAGAAGCAATCGAATCGTTTGATCGTTTTTCCTCTCTTTCTCTCTCTCTCTCTCTTACTCTCGCGTCACGTGGTATATAAAGGTGCAAAAAATTAGAGAGGCACGATCACGATCGTCGGGACACGATTCTAGGGTCCTACTGATTCATTCACCTCGAGCTCTACCTCGACGAACGCGTATCACTACCTAGCCTTTGCTAACACGACTAATTCATTAAAGGGCCAATTATCTTTCACGTAGCAAAGAAAAAAGAAAAGAAAAGAAAAGATACTCTCTGCGACGAGAATCCTTTTCCGCATGATGATATCCAAATGTAAAAACGTCCGAATCGTAAGATTCGTGGTGCGGCCATCGTCCGTTCTCCGTTCGAAAATGAGGAGGAGGAAGGCGAGAACTCCGTTCGAGCTCCTCCGTCGCGATAATTTTTAATTAATCTCGATGATTTGGCGGGGTTCGAGTCACGGTTATTAATACCCGTGCTTTTATCTTCGCCTCCCTCCTTGACCCGGACCCGCGTCAGCATTATTAATACGATTCGACGTCATTGTTATCAGCAACGAAGCCTCGTGGACGGGGCCTCGTTA